ATCCATTCTGTTTTCTTCTCTCCTTTCTTTATTTGTATGATCTCTAGTTTCCTCTATTTTATCTTTAGTACTCTATTACATATATTTTCCTAACAATTTATCTTGTAAGGTAGAATAGTAGATTACCTGTTAGGTATATTTTTTAACTAATATTTTTAACTAGTTTCCTCTATTTTATCTCTAGTACTCTATTACATTTATTTTCCTAATAATTTATCTTGTAAGGTAGAATAGTAGGTTACCTCTTAGGTACATTTTTTAACTAATTTTTTTAACTAGTTTCCTCTATTTTATCTCTAGTACTCTATTACATTTATTTTCCTAATAATTTATATTGTAAGGTAGAATAATAGGTTACCTGTTAGGTATATTTTTTAAGTAATATTTTTAATTTTAGAAAATATGGAAGAATCATTCCATCATGGATAAAAAGAGGAGTTCTAAGTCTGTTCAAGTTGCAGAACTTGAAGCAAGCTTTAACTGATAATCTAGCGGGAATTTGAAATCCTTATGCACAGGCTCCATAGAAATTTGAGATACAGGTTATGGTATATACTGAGCCCATTTTGGAACAACACAACCTAATCTTGCTGGAGGCATCCTGTGAGCAATCTCTGCAGCTCTTAACAGTTACATCTCTACTGTTAGTGATGCTAGTATTATGGGTCTCAGTTAGCATGGAGGGAACAAAGGTGTTAGTTTTGTTGATGAAGTTCTTAGAGAAGTTGTATCAGAAGATGCAATGTTCAATAGAACTTAGTTGCTACGTTGCCTGGCATATGCTATATATTTCCATCCCAGGCATAGTAAGTACCCAGCCTGTCCATTTCCTGAAACAACACAACCTAATCTCGCTGGGGGCACCCTACAAACAATGTCTGCAGCTCTTAATATTTACGTCTCTACTGTTAGTAATGTTAACATTGTGGTTCTCAATTAGCATGAAGGAAATAAAGGTGCTACCACTGTTGATGAAGTTCTTACAGAAGTTGTATCAGAAGATTCAATAAATGTAATAGAACCTATCTGCTATATTATCTGCTGCTGATGAAGTTCTTACAGAAGTTGTATCAGAAGATTCAATAAATGTAATAGAACCTAGCTGCTATATTGTCTGCACATACCACTATGTATACCGAGTGGTGCTGTGTTGATACAGGTGTGCTATCTGGTGAACTAAAAAGAATGTTGTGCTATCTGGTGAACTAAAAAGAATGTTGATGTGGGACAAATCATGGTTAATTTTCCCAGGTGGAAAGTTTGGGGAAAAACCTAAATATCACAATAGGAATCTTAAGTATCATTTTTAAGATTTCATTGAATAACAGAATAAAGTACTAAAAGATATTTGTATTGACTTAACAATGCTCTTAAAGGAGATAACATAATTATTCAGGAATTACCAAATAATTATTTCCCAAATATGATTAGCCTAATAATACTAAGTTGAAAATAATATATTATGAATTCCTAAGGATCCGGTCCAGAATTCGGGGTCTACAAAAGGTTTTTGTCACGGTAATCATAAGAGTGTGTTTGTATGAGTGTGTGTTTGGTGATGATAATATGTGATAAGTTAGTAGTAGGCCTGAGGGTTTTGTTGTAATAAATAAGTTGTTAGACCTGACAGTTTTAGGTTGTTTGAATTTGTGTCAGTTATGCTACTCTTAAGGACCTGATCATATCCGTATGGAGGCCGTTATCACTGTAACTGTAAGCCTTAAAAGGCCAGTCTGAAGGAAACAAAAATATGCTGGAAATTAATCAAAACTTTCTTGAGTACTCAACTTAAGGAGATATTTGGGTTCTCTCTCAAGGAGCCCAAACAATTAGTTATAATAGCAATAAAGGAAGAAAAATCCAGCGGGATTCTGATTCTTCCTTATCTGATTTCTCTTACAAGGACCTGTAACTATATCTAGGGTACAGGTTCGTAGGATTCTAATACTATCAAAAATAGAGAGACAAAACATAAATAAATTGGGAAGCATAAAATAATTTCTAAATAATATAATTCCTAAAATAGTTAATTACTACTGTGCCTTTGCATCATCATGTGTGGTAAAGGGAAAGAACCGTGATAATTTGCATTTATGAGTTGGGTGTCGCAGAGGTGGCTGTGGTAGTGGTGCTAAATCTGGTTGCAGTAGGGCTATCAAGAGCAGTGTTTTGATTTGGCAGAGATGATAGGTTGTGCATGGGCCGTGATGAAGATGAATATAGGAGAGAGGTTAGATAGAAAAAATATATGGTATGGGAAGGATATTTTAGTCAGTATTAATATTTGGTTAATGACATGGCACTAATTGTTACAGTTAAGTAACTATTGCTTTAACAAACTATTAGATGAGTCATGTTTTTGTAAGAAGAACTTAAATTATGAATGAAGCTAATGGTTTTGTATGTTTTTAAAATATAGTTACATTTTTGTAGTTTGATATAAAATTGAGTCATGTTATGGTACTTTATACAATCTATAGATACTTGGTTATAATTTTAGGTATTCAGTTTCATTTCACATTACAAATTTGTGACTTCTTTGCAGCTAAAGTTTTAACACTTTTCACGACCGCTTGTCCTTTTTTTTCTTTTCCAGGACGAGCACTACAGAGAAGACAATCTTTCCTTGCGAAACCTTACTCTTTTGCTCTCCTGTTTATACATATTTGGAGTTTGCTCCTGGTGGGTACTTGGTACTGAGTGCTAATCTGGAAACTTATTACATTTTGTGGCACTTGTATAAGTAAACTGA